GCTGTTACAAGTACTTCAGCTATACTGATATCATCAAATTGGCGATTAGTCATAGCTGCAGCAAGTCTTGCACACCCTTCGTTCAACATTTTATCATATATGTAAAAGTTAATAGTTGAATAGTTGAAAACTCGAAGAAAGTTTTTAAATTCAAATCGACTTTTCAGCTTCTACACTACTGTGAAAATGCGCATCCGAAGAGAACTTTACGTTGCTGCACAGTTGATTCCTCTTCCCTTTGACTAACATTGCTCAACCAGCTAGGGATGCGATCATGGGATTTTGGGGCCGAGACTCCCTATTCCACTGATGAAAAATTTTCATTTTTTTCCAGTAACATTTATGTTGTTTTAATTCAAAGACAAGATCGTAGAATGGAATAAAAAATTTTGCATCCTTTCCTTCCACTTTTAAAAAATTGTGTATTCATCTTCCAAGTTCTCAAAATTTCTTTTGCATCCTTCCCCACTTTTTTCTCTTCGCCACATCTCCGCAACTAGCGAACAAAATTTCTTTATGATTTTATACTTAATATGGGCAGCGTGTGTTGTGGATATTTTCATCAATACTCTTTAAAAATCTTCCAAGTCATTTTTGACCCAGCCTTTTACGAAATAGATCGTGACGTGCAGAACAGAGGGTATTGCGCAATATTTTAAACAGCAGTCTAAAAGAAAAAGAATACAACGCCAACCAGGACTCAAACGCTGGGTCGCTTGCTTATGAGACAAGAGTGCTAACCGCTACCTCTGAAGTTCTTGTCTGATGGTTGTCATCAACGAGATGTTAGAAATAGTGTATAGGAAGGGGTTTGGAAGCAACTATTATAATAAACCAGCATTCGATGTTCAGCTGCTTGGAGAGTAGAACCTCCACCAAATTGAATGTGATGATCGATTCAAAAATGTTCGAATTCATTAATAATGCGACAAATGGTATAAGTTCCAATAAAAAAAATACAAACAAGGATGCAGAGTTCAACAATATATTAGATTAGTATGAAGTTACAAAAATGTTTTGGTCAAATAATCTCACTATCAGACCTATATCAACATCTACAAGACTTGCCCTTGTTTGTTATCCCAGTATTTCTTTAAGAATTCGTCAATCTTGGTCGGCTGTATTGCTGGAAAGCGCTTGTTCAAGGTCGGTTCGTATTCGACTTCACCTTGCGCAAACTGAACCGTTACTTCTTGATATAAATTATCAACAACACTAGTGGGATTTGGATTGCGCATGCCAAGTATTTCATCTATTGTTTGCCGTTTGATATCAAACTTTTGTCCGCGTATATTTTCTTCCAAGCGAATGATTTCATGCCAGTTTGTTCGAGAACCAGCAATGCCTGAATAAGGTTCTCATCTGTCCAGATCGAGCGATGGAACGACAAACTTAGCGACGTCTTCTAGAAACATCATATTGATTGGTTCATTGTCTGTCCCTGCGAACCACGCAGAGCATTCATTGATATTAATGGCAAAAGCCATTGGGTGCAGATAAAGATTGCTTTTCTGAGGAAAAGTAAAATAATCCATATAAGAACATTGCATATTCGATAGCAGAGTTTTTGACTGTATCAACTACAGACTTTCTGATCTTCGTATAGAAGTCGAGGGAAGTATTTTTCTCACTCATACCAGCCCTTTCTGATAGTGCGAAGCATCTAGCACCTGCTTCGATTGAAGCTTTGAGTAAGTTCAGCTGTGCATCTCGACACGATTTGGTGTGATTGCCAATGCATGAAATGACTGTATGAACGCCTTATAGAGCCGTAGCAAGCGCCCGATGATCAGTATAATCCACTTGAACAATTATAACACATTCGATCGTGAGTTCAGAAGACTCCTTTGGTGAGAAAATTACGACAGAATGTTTGTTGACAGCAACAATGGCATCGATTATGGTACGCCCCATAGCACCTATACCTTCGGCGACAACAACTTTGATCCCTTGCTTCCCATCATCCATAGCAAAGTACGATTATACTTAAAAGTATAAAAAAGAGTTCTAGGGTGTGGGTGTCTAGGTGTGGGTGTGGATAGAGGTGTTAGCCACCGATTTTTTGCCGCTGGCGAATAGAACGTCTCGGCGGGGACTTTTCCGCCGCCGCCGTCGCCGATCGAGTGAAAGGTCACAGTTCAAGCTTTCGCTTTTTCTAAATTATCACTCGTTGATAATAATCAGCAATATCTTAAGTTTGATCTATGTGACAATTAGGGATTGCGGAAACCAACAGAACTTTTAAAAAATAGGAATTAGTGTATTTTTTCTTGGATGACATGTGGTCTTAAAACCGAGCTGATAAACAAATATGCCTCCTGGTGATTTTGTGAGGCTAGCATATTTATTAGGTTTTCATTTGCCTTATTCCTTCATACACAATAGATTCATCGTTATTATTTTCTCCGTTTCGTAATTTTTGACTTATTCAATATGCAGTTTCGACTAACTGTCTAGTTTGAGTTCGAATGTAAATGTAACTAATATTGCGATTCGAATTCCAATTCCAATTCCAATCGATACTCTCCTGCCAGTTTAGAAAAAAGAAAAATATTTAGTTTCAATTTGAATTCGAATAGTCAATAAAAAACAAATCTTGCTCTTTTTCTCCATTCACAGAAAAGTATCGATTTGAATTTGAATTCTAATTCTAATTTCAATGTTAGTTTCACTTATGATCTAATTCGAGCTACCATATGGATGGCACATTATCTTTATTTTACTTTGAAAAAGTAAAGTAAAGTAAAGTAGAGTAAAGTAAAATACTATAGTTTGAATGTGGAAAATAAAGTGAGATAAAGTTAACCAAACAATATTTTTCATGTATTCATAAAAANACAGAAAAGTATCGATTTGAATTTGAATTCTAATTCTAATTTCAATGTTAGTTTCACTTATGATCTAATTCGAGCTACCATATGGATGGCACATTATCTTTATTTTACTTTGAAAAAGTAAAGTAAAGTAAAGTAGAGTAAAGTAAAATACTATAGTTTGAATGTGGAAAATAAAGTGAGATAAAGTTAACCAAACAATATTTTTCATGTATTCATAAAAAATCGACATTTTTCGGCTTTACTTATTTTTTTCACACTAATTTTAAGACGAAACGATATTGAATAAATTTTGATACGTTCTAAGATTATTTATACGTGATCCTGAACTAAGAACTTGCCAAAAAATTTAAAACATACAACTTCATTTTTTTCACTCTACTTTACTTTATTTGGTAAAGTAAAGATAAAGTGCTAGTCCTAAGCTATCATGTCTGAATTTAATTTGTATGTTAAATGGATAGTCACATTATTGCCATTTTGGCTTATATCATGAGTTCTTGTTGTGTGGTTTGAAGTTATTTTATGATGGGACAATGTGAATTTTTTGAATTAATGAAAATAAAGTTACATCTAGTGGAAAGATTTTTGCATAAAAAGACATGAGCGTGCTAAGAGAAAACAACGTTATAATTCTGTGAGAATAGAACGTCTAATGTTTGTCTTAACGGTAGGGATCTACGAAAGACCCTGTGAAATAACATAGGAAAAATTTTGTCGTCGCCGCCGAAAATGGCCTCCTCGGCGAGAGCTCCTCGCCGCTGCCGATCAAATGATCGGCTAACACCTCTATTCCTATACTCTTATACGGTAGCGAACTATGGTGTCTGACAATTGCAGAAGAACAACGTTTGGAAACATTCTATATGACGTGTTTGAGAACAGTAATCGGTGTCTCTCTTGGTGACCGAATGCGAAATGATCTTGTGCTTCTGTTAACTGGTCAACCACCTTTGGAAAATATTTTAAGAAGGAATAGGTTGCGATGGTTTGGTCATGTTAACCGAATGAATAACGATCAAGGCTATCCGTTGCTAACAAAGAAGATCTTGTTCGCCTCATTCAAAGATGCAAAAAGACATCCACATGGCATCAAACTGAGATGGCGAGATAAAGTCCCGAAAGACATCACCATGTTGGATATCAACAATTGGAGACGAGAGACTCAAGATAAGAATAAATGGTGGAAAACAATTAATCGAGATGTCAGACAAACTACAGTTCATACAGATATAGTACATATTGTACAAGAACATAAAAAAAGAGCAGCTAACCGTCGAACAGAAGAACAACTATCACGATTAACAAAGCAAAATACAACTATACCTCTTACTAATCCGCTAGCTTCTACAACTGATCATGCCACATGCATGCAATACGGACGGATATGTAAAAACAAATGAGGTTTAAAAATACATCAACGAACTTGTGTAGATAAAAAGATCATAGATGAATGTACTACTAGTATACCGAAAATAATAGATTTATTGGTAAAAAACAATAAAAACGAATATATTTGTCTAAATCAAGATTATGGAAGATATTTAAAACCTCAAGAAGCCACATCACATGTGAAAGCATGTGCGAAACCATGGTTGGAGAAACGAGGTGTTACAGTTTAGTGACTAAAATCTGCAGGTAGTTAACTGCGAAGTATAATGACGGTTACTGAAACCAGATCTGCTTGTGGTCTGGAGGTAACAGTCTGATGGATATAGCAGTGACATAGTTGTAGATGATAACCATCCGACAAACAAGACTTGATCGCTTATGTTTCATTTTTGTGTTTTATGTCTTTGTTTTTTGTGTATGTCCTTGCGTAGCTTTGTAAATATGTATGTGTTGTGTGTTGTCCTCTCTGTGTATTGTTCTTGCTTTTCTTTTATTTTTTTAGTATTCATGTTTTTTTTTCTTTTTTCTCTCCTCTTTTTATCACTCTGTCCGTTCCTCGCCTAACCCGGGCCACCGGCATTGGCACTCTTCTTCTTCTTCAAAGTGATACATCATATTACAATTCTAATCGTAACCCGATATCCATTATGATGATGAGAGCAGAAACATTTGCACGTCAAGGTAATTTCTATTCGTCATATTTTCTTGAAGAAGTATATAAAGGCTGTTTTTTTCTTGACACCATTGCATGTGAAAAACAAAAGGTTCGAAAAAATGAGGCAACCTATCTCCTTAGTGCTTTGGATTCTATTCATTAATCAATGTTCAAGTCAAACTGGTTTTCCAAGACAATTTCAAGCAACATTGAATATAAGTGGATTATATTCATGGCAAACATCAACTCACGGCGTCCAACAATTATTGTATGATTATACAAACGCCAGAGTTCGTTTTGATATCGAAGGATGGCAAGCAAAACAAAATGAAACTTACATGGTGATATACAAACCCGACGGTGCTGAAGCAGATTCAGTAAGTAAAAAACCCGTCGCTCTCTACGGAAAAAGATTAAACATCAAACTTTTTCGTAGCCAGCTTCTCAGGGTTATACAATGTTCAATTTCAATCCTGATTATCCACAATGGACAAAAGTAAGAAGAAAACAATGTTGCCTGTTTTTCTCGTTAAATATTTTTTTCTCTTTGAAGAACAACTGTTGGTACAGAACAAACACAACGGGTGATATAGGCCCATTCCCATTCACATGGTTTACGAGTCCTGAAAGTCAATTTAAAATTCAACCATGGTTGCCATTACCATCGAATCTTATCAATAAGGGTGAAGAATGGATTCCAGAAATTCATGATTATGCAACGGTATGTCAACCTAGTGCCTGAAAAACAAACTATTCTGATTTCAAATGATGAGTAGATCGAGTCGTAGACTTGTCTTTTCAGAGTAGCCTCCTACGCATTGTGTACGTTTACGCATTTCTCTAAAAATATGCTGTACACCGTGAACAGCTTCTGCCTTTCCAGTTATTTTCAGGTCAAGTACTTCTATGTCACGACGAAAATTGAGAAGACGATTCTGGGGTATATGCAGTGGATGAAAGATGTCGTATTTTAAAGAACCTTGCTAGAGTTAGTGCTAATTGGTTTTTGTGTCTTGCCCTGCCGTTTTCAGTTTCGCATAGGATAGCTATTACCTTTTCCTGTAGAAATATCTTGCGAAGTTAAGCGGTTAAAATCAATAGATATACAAGTATTTGGGATTCTGAATCCACTGACTATGCGAGTAAATGACATATAATAAAGAGACTTGTAATTTTAGAGATACGATTCGCCAGAAATATGTGATTTGCAACAATCTGGAATTGGCAAAGTTCCATGTTTAAGCTATTTTGAGACACAAGATAGACCAGTTAAAACCATTCGAGCGCATGGTGCTCGCCCACATTCATACGACTCTGATGAGTAAGTGTATATCGTACGCCTAGAGAGAGTAAAGAATTGCCTGCTTGTACATAGATACGTAAATACAGTATATCTGTCATTTACACATGGTATTCCATCAGAAGCTGAACATTTATTCGATCTACCTGATCAATGGCCTTCCTATTGTGGCAATGCAAACACAGGTAAAGTACAGTNCCTTTTCTGACTTCAATTAGACCAACAACAAGTAGACCGATAAGAACATCAAGTGAGCGAATCAGCTATCATTGTTTAATTTGAAAAAAGGCCGTGGTTGTCACATGACCACCAGCGGAAAAGCATATGTTTTTGATGATGGTGACATGCAAGTTTCACATAAGATAAGATACTATTGTTTCAGCTCAACCTAAGAATATTGAGTATAGCGTACTTATATAAGACAGTAAAATTTTCCACACAAACTGCATATTGGATAGGTTCTTTTTATCTTATTACGATCAGCCAATCTGGTTGATGTCCGCAACAGTTATCGTGATTGAACCGAAACATTGTTTCGACATCTCTAGTACCTAATCGTACTGAGTTTTGAAATTATTTACTCATCGAGTGAGACATTTAGAATTACTTTTTTCATGTCAGAGTATTTAGACACAGATTGACCATTTTGATCATGATTTGGCTCGTAAATTATAATATGGATAGAACAGGCCAAAGAGTAATTTTCTGTAATGTTGATTATTGTTTGAAAAAATAATATCAAATACTGGCTATGCCCTAGACCAAACATGTTCACCTATCTGTTTTTAACTATGGGTGCAGTCAATATCGCGCAGTTTAAATATTGGTTCCAGCATAAAGAATTCTAATTTTAGTTTTTCTTCAAAACGTCCATGATTTCTTCATGATAAAATGAAAAACTTCGTCTGAGAATAGTTCTCATTTGACTCACTCGAAAACTTCATGAAAAGAGCAGGTACAATATGTATATCTCGTGTCACAAATATTCTAGGACGACGAATCCGTCGGTCGAGCTGTATCAAGACCCATCGAAATTCTGATCTTAGTACTCATTCTGAAATTTATTATATGTCACGAGTATTTACCAGACCTTTAATTGAACTGACACTAGCGATCTGAGCACATACATAGCTAAGCTTTCTTGTTTTGAATAATTTCTTCTTCTATTTTCGATCTAATTATACGTTTTCGAAGATAAGTTTTCCATGCTTTGAATGCTTTATTTCTCATATCAGTGAGCTTATAAGAAAGATTTTCTAGAAAAACTATCAAGAGCTATTGATCAATTTATTCTCTGATAGTATATACAACTGCCGAGCAACTGTATATTACTTGAAAGGTTAAGAAACGATAGAAAAAACTACTATCGACATTTTGACAAAACTGGCCACAAAATGCTATGATATGACTCACTTACACATTTCTTGTAAATTAACTCAAGTAAGAAGATCATCAAAAGCAAAAATTGAGGGAAAAAAATTGAAGAAACTCTGATCACGAAGTTTGGCAGCGTGACAATTTTTTTACAATTGTTTCTTAATAATAAAAGCATGACAACTTCTATTAGATGACATCTTCAGTCTTAAGCTATGCCATCAATTAGCGCTGATAAAACGCTAAAAGAAGAATTTATCTTATGAAAAAAAGAGTCTAATTTGCGGTATAATTGTTGACTATTAGCAATTTCACGTAGCCGACTTTGGCGTCTGAATTCACAATAAACCATATAAGACTGCTCTTATCTCTCAAAAATTTCCGACACTTGCTTGCTAAGTCCTACAACTTTCGAGCCGCACTATTTTATTTCATTTCAAAAAGTTGTCACTTTTGATAAGATTTTCTTAGCACTAATAAGCAGCAAACATTTCATATCGAGCTCTTTTACTATGACAAATATGTCACTTCATGGTAGAGAAAACTGTTCGCTGAGAATAACTTTCCAAACATATTTCTAGAAAATGTAACCGACAAAGTTCGTACGTCTTCTACAGAAAACTTTTCTGATGAATGTGTTCTACCTCGATCAAATTTCGAGGACCTTGTACATACCTTTGACGAAAAATTCTTCATTTCGCTTTAACTCGATTAAACATATATAACTGTTTTGTTCTTCTATGATTGTACTACATGAAATATCACAGCGACGAAATTTTACTTTCCATCATGACAACCGAGTCGGTAAATGCATTTTATCGAAGTAGATAAAACAACAAGTTATTAGAAAATAACACAATGTAAAGGTTCTGAAAGAAAAAACTATTTTACAGAAAAGATCAGCATTGCTATCATTTACTCGATGTACGTGCACCTGATAGGAATACTCTATCACATTGTATGAGTTTGTCAATTTTCAGAAAAGTAACTGCATTGAGTTACTGGCGCTTTAAAAAAACGAAACGTTTTTTTTCCCTTTTGCTTCTCAAGAAAAAAATGATTTAACTACCACTTTATATCTTGTTTTTTTTTTCAACACAGCTCAATCATGTATTGGCTATTGGTCATGCCATACTTATGATTCTACTTATACATTGAGTTTAGCACAAATTTTGGCTATTACTTTTGGTTGCGTTGTATTCTGTGCTGGTATGGTTGGTCTTACCAGTTATTGTTACAAGCAAAAACAAGCTTCGGCCAGAGTAGTCACTCCGTCAAGATATAATCAAAATAGGCAAAGACATGATGTTCCTTTGGCAAGTATTCACACGAATACAACAAGAGCAAATGGAATTCATGTACCTTACACAATTTCAACATCTGGAGCAGGTGCCACCTATGTAGAACAACCTCCTCCATCTTATGAGTCATTTTTGACATCTCCAACAGCACAAAAGAACGAAAACTCTACCTACTTCTGAAACAATGACAAGTTTCAAGTTTCCATTATATTCAAAACTATGCTATTGTGAACAAAAAGCTTTCATTTTCTATCATTTAATTCTTTTTATAATCCTTATATTTTTCATGTGGACTAAAATCTATCAATAAATATTACCTTGAAACGCATCATTTTTGTCTTATGTAAAGAAATAGATGTCTATGAATATGCAATAAAGGAGGAAACACTAGCTCCTCTTCGCTCATCTACACGAAATTCATTTACATTTTTCATGATTTTCAGTAAATCATTCAAGTTCATTGAATCGCAGAGACATAAAACTCCTGCTACGCTTCTAAAGGAAAAGGATGACAATGTTTTCCGCGAATCAATTTGTCATTAGCTACTTTTCGATTGACCAGTGTGAAATATTTCGTTTTTTTAGCATAGCATTTCAATTTTTCATCCGACATGATCGTTTTCTCAGTGATCAACTTTAATCTTGCTCACATTTATACTAAGACAGAAGGCACAAGTAACGAAAAAGAAAAAACCAATTTGATAAGAGACCATTCAAACTTTCGATTGACGAACGAACTACAACAATACGTGAATAATTTACTTGTATCTCTGAGAAGAATGATATGTAGCTATAACACAATGCGTCAAACGATGCAGGACATTATTAGAAAGCATTCCAGGAGACTCAATCCATCAGTCCGATCTTATCGGATTCTGTCATAGTCCTATAAACTCCCCGATAGCTCTATATACGTAAATATTATCGAAAACTGGATGATGAAATGATATTCAAATCCCTACTGTTAAACTTTAATCGGATCTAACTATTGGATTCTTAAAACTTCTAGTATCACTATCCAATTGAATCCTACAATAAAACCTCTTAGTAATGTCATAGAGTACACCAACATTGACCACAACTTGGAATCTATGACTCTGCAATTATTTAACTTAATAAAATAAAACAGTTCCACAGTTGAATTTTCTCAAAAAATACTGCCTGATTTTGATCAATGATCGCAACATATCAACCGTCTACTCTATTACTGATATCATTAGTAGAATTTCTATGGAATTCTTAACAACTACATAATCTCAGAGAGAATAAAATTAAAAAGCTCTAAGACTTGTCAAATTGCAATCATTCTTAAATGAGTCCTATTCGGCCGAAAAAATCAGCTAGAAAATCTTGAAAAACTGTTTATACAGTCAGCTTCATCAATACGGATAACATTTAGTCAAACTTTATAGAAGATCGTGGGTTTTGAAAGATATACTTTTTTTAAATCCGAAAGATTAAACTCAGAAATTTCTGAAATTAACTATAAATGTAGGGTGCGACTTCTCTCTTAATTAACACACACACACCTCCTGAGTATTTCAAATGGCATTTTCTTGACACGCATTCTCCTTCTTGACAATAATCATATAAATATAAAAAACTTAATCATTTCGTTGAAATGTCTTGTATACTTTTGTCTCTATCATTCATTGTTTTAATTAAAATTTGAACATATATTACTGATATATTCTGAGATTTCGATCATTATATTTTTCACGATTACATTTAGCAATGTTAATCACAATACCTGTAGGATACAATCAAAAAATTCTTTTGAAATAATTCGACTTTTATTATTTGATAGATTGAATAACATATTTGAATAAATAAAAAACAAAATTAAAAATTTCATAACTGATTTACAAGAAGAATTATGCAAAGGACACTTGCTTGAATTTAATTATAACTAATAGAAAAATTTGAAACAATTTTTCATGATAATGAATCATTCAAGATTTATTTACATTGATTATATTTTCATGAAATATTTATTTAAAATTTTTTACAAACTCTAATTTTCTTTCTCAATATATAATTTGTTAAAAATTCATTAAATTCATGACGAAATTTTGATGAACCATAACAATAAATAAAAAAATTAATCTAAAATTAAAAAAAAATCATATTTTCTTAACTTCTTATATAATTCAACTTACTGCATGACTTGTAAATTGCATACATATCAATGTTCCATGTAAAATATATTTCATTCGTTTTTTTTGTGTTAAATAATTTCTTAAGAAAACATTATAAATCATAACTGGTGTTGTTAATAAAACAAATAAAAAAGTAACAAATAAAAGAAGATATGTTAATTGTTTTTGTTTACGTTGTTGATAAACTTGATTAGAATTTTTTCTGGTATTAATTAATGATACTGTTGTTGTTACTACACGATGTATTATTAAACAATTTGAAATAAGCATAATTGAAAAAGGTATTAGATTGTAAATAATAACATGTATTTTTTCCCATTTTGGAAATATATAATATGGATCATTAAGATTTGAATAACAAATAAAACAAGTACGTTTTCCAAATGGTATACAATTTTCTTGTTCATATCCATTAAGAAAAAGTAAATGACTATTAGTTAATATTATTGTAATTGTAACAGTAAGAATAATAAAAACAGCATAATTAGGTCGACCTAATTTTCTAGGCCAAAATAAAAAATGTATACTAAGACATCGATCTACACTAACTAATGTTAAAAACCATGATGATAATTCTAAACTAACAAATGCAATAAATGATATAATACGACAAGATATAATTGATAAATCTTCAAGATCATTTTGATATGGATTAATTAAATGTTTATAGAATAAATTTAAATTCCATGAATATAATGAACAAAGATCAGCTGTAGCTAGTGCTGTTAAATAACGCATTGTTGTATGTTTTCTTAACATAGGTCGAAGAAGAATAATTATAGTTAAAATATTTCCTATGAAAAATAAAAAGTAAAATTTCAATGTGTTTTATTTTCGAGTTAAAACTTTTCAATTTTCATTTACCTATTGTTCCAATAACAATGAGAAATAAAGCATACATTGCTATAACATATAAAAATGGATGATGAGTATTTACAATGTATGTTTGATTTGTTTGATTCCATATTAAAGATTCAAGAGTAAATGAATGCATTGTATTTAACATATTTGAATTAAGAATTATTGGAAGATAATTATCAAGATTGTTCATCACAATCTACAAGAGAAATAAAATATAAAAAGAAATTTTGTAATTGAAATAAATGTCACTATTGTATATTTTTTTTTGTGTTATTTAACTAGAATATATTGAATTGAATACAGAAACGAGACTTTTTATTAGAATTGATAAATTCGATGAAATAAATTTTATCTATCATAATTTGTCTAATATATAAGTCCACCCCCCTCTAAAAAAATCAATCTCACATACGTTTGCTCACTGTCAAGAGTGTGTTTTTCATGAAATATCACGTCCAATAATAGTGTGTTCTTTGATTTAGTGTCAGCTATTATCATATGCTTCACAAAAAAATAATGAACATAATTCTTCTGCATTTGTCTATTTAATCTCTTGTTAGATAAACATCCTGTGAGTAATGATAACATAAACAACGAGTAATACATCTTGATACCCTTTACTTATTTATTCTATTGTCTTCAATTAAATGTTTGTATAAGAATGATAGAGTTAATCAATTTAGATGCCACTTCTTTGTATTCTAATGAATGAAGTCATTCATTGAAGAAGACGAAGAAAAAGAAGAGATAAATTTATGTGTAGTATTATGTTTTCAGATCACTCTTGTTAAGCAAAAGGACACAAGTAATGTTGTGTTAAACTATCTATTGTAAAGTTTATCATTTGTACATCACGGGTGGGCCATAATTAATGACACAGTTTGTACTTCGCATGTTTTTTTTTGGCTAGGTTTCATTGTAGAAATTTTTGCCTAGTCTGAAAAGATTTTTTCCTTAATTCTCTACAAAATTACATCAGAATTTTGAATTTGAGTCTCTCATTTAAAAAAAAAGATGATAATCAAATAATATTACACCGTTGCACCGTTGGTGACTGTCTAAGATTAAAAAATAGTTGTCTTGATTTTATTGGTTGGAACTTTGGCTCTTCATAAAACTTAATCAGGAAAAGAATGCTTTTTCTTTGAAAATTTACAAAAATTATGGTTTTGAAATTAGCATTTTCAAGACATTCAATAACTTTGGTAAAAGTTAAATAAATCTTAATACTATGAATTTATATATTCATACTTTGAAAATAAATCTATGGTACATTAAACCGAATGCTCATGATGAGAACAAAATTCTGCAGTCGAGTGAAATTAGCCAAATAAGTCTAATTTTGGTTGTTTCGAAACCAGTTCGATATACATGTAGATATGAGCAATTGTTGATCGAATACTTGATCGTTTTTCTATTCATATATTACCCAATATACATCATAATGTTAAATATTTTATTTTCGAATCAATGTCTATGGAACATATTCGTCTTGCTGGCAACTAGTAAACTTTGACG